ATTTCTTCTTCCTCTTCAAATTTTCTGTCTCTTCTAATTCCATTTTATTTTAGGTTGGTAAGGAAATGCAAATATCTGAAGTGAATGATATATGGTGGTATATGTTATGAGAAGATAAAATGACATCCGACTAAGCGACAGAAGACCAAAATTGAGCCCAGGGAGAAGTAGGCTCAGATGCACGAAATCAGGTAAGGAAGCCGGAATCCAGCGACACGGGTCGGTTGGGTCTGCTCCGAGTAGGCCTCGACGCTGAGAGACTTCTCGGTCCACCCCTGAGAACTCTAATGGCTCTAGCTCCCTCTGACTAATGTCTCAAACTCATCTCACCTCGACTCTCGATCTAATGTTCGATTTCCATAAATAGGAAGGTAAATCCAACCCTAGAGATATACTTGGATGACAAATATCGATATAAAATCTTTTGGATGAAACCAAAAACAAAATCGTGAGGGTTCTTGGAGTAATATTGTGGTTGACATGTCACTCCTTCCCTCCTTCATCATCTTCTGCGTGCGACGTGTGTGGTGTCCGAAACAGAAAAAAGAATAGGGACACGACAAAGGTGACCACAATAGAGTGGATGGTTATGTGTCAAACTCAAGGCGAAGGGTTGAATTAACAATATCTCTAGCTTGCTTCCATTGCTCTCTGTGACCAAGTATTTTGGTTATTTAAGAAACTTGATCTGTTGTTCCCAATTAGCACACAAATTTAAGTGTTTGGGAATCAAAATGAAGGTTGTAGTAGTAGTTTTTGTTGTGGTTTTGAGCTTATTCGCAGGCAGCTCCAAAGGGGGCTACACCGATTGCGTGAACGCTGCATCGATTCCTCCTTGCGATCTTCATTCTTCCAAAAATTTCGATATAATCCAAGACTTGTGCATTTTAAAACGTGGTGCAACATGCGCCTTAACTTCTGCAAACTTGGCTGTACCACCTCTCTTTGCACCAACAAATTTACCCCCAACATTTATCCGGGTACACACTACACTCAAATTACAAATTTCGTCTTCCCAATATTTTTAAATGCCTACTATTTAAAATAATCTCTAATACTATTGTTGTTCGATGATTACGCCACCAAATGTGTCTAAAGTTGTTTGAACTTATCCCGCCATGCACCCGCCAAGCTTGTCCTAGTCAATACAAGAAGATCTCTCCCCATTGAATTTTTAAAATTTGGCATAAATTTTGTTACAATATTTTTTTAGGATAGAGGAAAAAAATAAAAAGAAACTTAACAATGCATGTCACATCATTTAAAATTGCCAACTTAACAATGTCATGTTATTTTTTCGTTGGTAAATTAACGGTCAACTTTACTCAATGACCATTTAGAACTATTTTTTAAAGATCGGGATCAAACTGTCACTCTTTGAAAAGCTTTATCCAAATCTATATTAATTAAGCTATGTATTAAGATATATATAGTTTTCAAAGTGTCTATGCATCATGCATCCATTAATAACGTGTGTGAAAAACAAGGTTGCTTTTATACATATCACACAGAATTGTGATTAAGTACCATAACTAATCTAATATTTTAACATACTAATAATAAATATTTACACTTTTATTAATATATATACTCGTTTATGAGGAATTCTATAAGTAAATGACCAAAATCCTTAAAACTATTCACCACATTTTGTCTCCATTTTTTCACTATAAAGTACACGATTTCACCATGTTCACTGCCACCTGATTCTATCAATAATTTTATACCTATCTTGATTTTAATTTTTTTTTATTTAATTTACATTTATTTTGTTGTTACTTTGCAACTTACAATGTTTTTTATTTTTTATTTTTAAAATTACATTGTTCTTAAAATTATCTCTCAAACCCCGTAAAACAATGACACGAATTCTCGAAATTTTTTGTCATTGCTTTCTTAAAAAATAAAAAATTATTACTAAACTTGTTACCATTTTTCTTTACAAGGATGCATGAGTTTTTAAAGTATTATAAATTTATGTGCAAAATTGGAAAATTGCATCTTTTTTGTACTCTTACATTATGCAACATTTTTAAAATCTGCTAAATTTGTCTCAAAATTATAACCACCACATACTTCTCTTGAATAATTGAATTATTCAAAAGTGTTGCTCTCTTTTTGAAGTGGGATAGGTGGGTGGGGAGTAGTAAATATGTGATTCTAAAAATTAAAAAAAAAATTTAAAACAACAATTATGTGATTTCCAAATTTTACAAACTATATATAAAGGCACAATTTTATTTATTTATTTGGTAATGGAGCATTTTTGTTATAGAATGGCTTATAGACCTGGGTGTGGTTTAATTTTGCAATTGATTATATATATATATATATATATAGTTCAAAATTGTTGTAGAACTTGAAAAGAGAGGTTGGATAATGTAAAATTAGAAACGACTTTCCAAATAACCGTGGATCAAATAAATCGTTTCTTGTTTCTTATTTTCATTGTTTTGTTGTTTTCTTTAATTAAAATAAATAAATATATAAAAGTACATATTATTTATTTATTTTATTTCCTTCATTCTTACGAATTTTAAAACTAAAAAAATTATACGTTTTACATGAAAAGATAATATTTTAACAAAATAAAATATAACAAGCATGACGTAAACTTAATTTTTGATATTTATTATATATTTTATTAGTAATAAATGATAAAATAATACTATTATTTATGTTTTCTAAAAAAAAAGAAGTCTGAATTTCTTTTGACTAATTTGCCCACAAATTTCCCAAATGATATTTTCTTTAAAAAAAATTTATATTCCTCGAAATTTCCAAATGTATTACAAAACTATCTTAATTTTTTCAAGTGGCTTTTTCCTTTAGTACAATAATTTAGAGATATGGAAGATCAAACCTCCGACTTCAAAAGAAAGAGTACGTATCAATATGTTACCGCTGAGCTATGACTTCAAATATTGTTAAATTCTCATTGACCTCAAACTAAACGAAGTCTACCCTAATTAAACTGTGTGTTTGGTATGGTGGATAAATAATCTTGACCATCTATAGAACTTCCACCAAATTCTGAATAACTAATATTTTTCACTGGCTTGTGATAAGATTGAAGACCAATTTCTGGTCTTTGTTTTTCCTTTCAAACAAATTTTCATTAATGGAAAACATCATTTAACTCACAAATTTCAACCAAGTTATCAATTCGTGTGACTCATGCATTTAGGATTTTGGATGACAATGTCATCTTCAACTTTCTGAATAATGGTATCTACTGTCTCTTAATAGAATAAGGAGCAAAAATTAGGAATTTTGACGATAAAAAAAATATATGTAGGAGTATATCCACAATTTTTTTTCGGTTTGATCTTAAATTTATTTAGTTCGGTTTTCTTGATTAGTCTATCAAGATCTTCTCGCAAACCCATTTTTCGTCTAATTTATAGAACTTTGAGGTTAAATAAATATCAAAATTTGATGGGTTGAAAATTCTCTCTCGGATAAATTTCAAACATCTCACCAATAAAATTCTTTACGTTCTTCCTCAGAAAGAACCAAATATTATATACAAAAATCTAAATTAATTGATCAATTCATACGAAGTTTTTATCGATCAAGTATAGAGATTGGAAAACAACTTCACCATCTTCAAACTTGATCTTTGAAATTAGAGGGGCTAGTTTTAACCTTTTTTTTCACCCCTAAAAAATGTAGCATGCAAGTTGAAAATAATTATAAAAAAAAAAAAAGGCAAAACTTAGTGGACAAAAGAAGTATGAAAACTGTGCAATCTCACTGAGACATGTGGATTCCAATACTAAACAAATCATTGCAATACTAAACAAGTCAATGGCAGTGAAGTGAGGCAAATACAAGAGGGTTGGTGATATGTTCACTAGAACTAAAACAATCATTTTAATCATTTTTTATAATTCAAGTTGGAGGAGCAACTTTAGTCTAAATTTTCAGAATTATTTCTTAAGTGGCTAACAATTTGCTAAATAATAATATTTAAGCTATAATGACCCCAAACAATCTTTTAGAATCCATTAAGCGTGCTTAATTTTAGAGGTCGACTACTAAAAAATAACATGCACCATATACTACTCTATATTTAAAAATAAATGGTGTGCATCTTTTTTCAATAGCCCATTCACTATTTAAAAATGTTTGGCATGAAACGATTCTATACAAAATGATCTTATTGGAAAGGATGATCAAAATCTCACATTGGCTTAGATAGGAGAAATTTAGGCGAAGATTATGAGTATAGATATAAGTGGGGAATGATCTCCATTATATTGGTATGAACTATATACAAAGCATTTTGGTTGAAACAAAAAATAGTCATTAGACGAACTTAAGCAAAAGTAGACAATATCATCCTATTGTAAAAATGTGAGAGTATTTCTTTTAGGAATCATAACCCTCTTGTAAAAAGGGACACGATATCACTATTTCAATTTCTCGTTTGACGTTATGTAATGAAAATCATCATTCCTTATCAAATATCTAAAGTTATTATAACTGAGAGTAATTATCTCTCTCCATGTAAGATCGATCTCACATTGAAAACATAAGAGATCTAACAAACATTTATACTTCTCTTATTGCGAATTGATTTTGAAATAGAACCTTATAAATATTAATATGCGCTATCAGAGCTCAACAAGCTCAAACGAACATTTAGTCCAAAAGAGAAATTCGGACAAGATTGGTGAGCCACCATTTTGAAAGGGCTCATATCAAAAAGATAAATGATCATTTTGAAAGGGCATAAACCTTTGTTAAGTCATGAGGTTTATAATATTTCTGGACTACTTCTCGATTTTAAAATGAAACCTTATGAATATGAATGTTGATACTCCCCAAATCCACAAATCTATCCTATGGATTCAATTAAACCATTTTTAATTTTTATACATAGTTTTAATTTTGTCTAATTATGAGTGTAGATTCTTCCATTATAAGTCCTTCAAGAATGGGAATATGAGAGAGGTAGTCAAGGATTGAATAATTATTGTACTGCTCATATTCCAATTCCACCCAAGTGCCAAGTGCAAGTGCTTATTTAAAGAGCACTTCTTCCCAACCCACAGCCACAGCCTCAAAGCACACAAAACAGGAGAGTGGGAAATTAAAGAAAATGAAGAATTCAGAGCTTATTTTAGTTATGTTGGTTCTGAGCTTGGTTGCAGGCAAGTCCACAGCCTCATTCGGGAAGTGCTACGCCAAGTGCTTCGTTGTGTGCGCCATCACGCCGGGCATCCCCGTCGGCACGTGCGCTGCAAAGTGCCTCACAGATTGCCTCTTTCGTGCTGCATCGACCACAGCTGACTTCAACGATCAAATAGACACTCGTTACTTCTGTAAACTCGGCTGTGCCACTTCCCTCTGCACCAAATTCAGCACCAAGAAAGATCCAGGTTCGTATTGTTTCTCGGTATATCTGATCTATGCATAATATCATACAAAGATASATATAAAATTTTGATATTTAGATAATTGTATCCCTTTTGATAGAGTTGAAAAGACACTATCTYATCTTTTTCCATTGCCCATCCCTAAATTTTTGACAAATGAGAGTGGGAACGTAAGAGGGAGAGAAAAGAKAAWTTTTTTTCTTTTTCCATGAAAATAAACACACGTGGGTATGAAATTATTATTTAGCCTAATGGTTTTGAGGCCTCTACCTCAAACGATTCCTAAATTTTTAAGATCGTTCAAAAAAGTTCCTAAACACTTTCGATTTTGTGTTATTTTAGTTCCACAAGTTGATACTGGAAACTAGCTCACTATATATCATTAAAAATATAGTTAACGATAGGGTAGACGACAGAATATTAAAATTTCATAATGTATTAAAAATTTTATAAAGTACATGACTAAAACAATATTAGAAACACATTTTAAAAGATTAAATTGAGAAACATTAAAAGTTTAAATGGTAAATCTAACCATTTGATTTCTTTTTTGGTGACAGCTGAGAAGAAAGTGGGAAGCTGTGTGGACTCCTGCTCTCAAAAATGCATAAACGCTTAGAAGCAGAAGAATGTAGGAAGGAGCTATGACTAAATAAATGTCAGTGGTGAAAACAAAACCATTAGGCTAAAGGCTTATCACAAGTTTTATATATATAATTATATGTAAAAAGGAAAAACAAAACAGGTTGCTTTTTCTATATATTAATTAAGCTTATGAGAATGGTATTGTTATTGTCTAATTAATATTGCATTTTTCCTATGCCTATATATATATATATATATATATATATATATATTGTGTTGTAAAATTAATATCTTTAAAAGAGAAGTCAATTGGTTATGCAAGTATCTTTGGCTCAAAAGTCGAGATTCTAAGTTCATCTCAATAATTATCGACATCGTAGCCTAATTCAATTAATCAAGATATTAATTCTTGAAATTTTCATTTTATATTAAACTAAAAAAATCTCAATGAATATAAATTTTTCCACATGGATAGTTTTAAAACATTCTATTTTTAACAGTTTATTTTAATTTTATAGCATATAAATTAAATTAAAAGAAAAGTATGTTCTCTCCCAATTTTAGAATAGAAATCAAGAGGAAAGTATAATCACACCAAAGCCAAATTTAATTAGACTAGATGATTGGATCCTAGAGCTACAATTGAAAATAGTAAATTAAAAGTTTTCAAAAAAAAAATAGTAAATTAAAAATAAAAACCAAAAGTTAGTGAACAAAAGTTTTTCAGTACTAAATAAAGGTAGTGAATAAGAGAGCTAATGATATATTCACAAACCAAAACAATCATTTTAAACCTTTTTTTAATAATTCAAATTGGAGGAGAATTTTTTGTCTAAAATGTCACAATTAAATTTTAAGTGCCTAACAATTTACAGAATAATAATATTTAACCTCTACACCACAAATTAGAATTCGTTGAGCATATGCTTAAACTTAGAGATTTTAGGTCAATCTTTTTTTCTTTTTTTTTTATCAAAATGAGATTTAAATTCTCATTCCCACCCACCGGAACTCAAAAGTAAAATTTTCGAGATTTTCGCGAAGGAGCTATTCTAAAAGAAATATCTACCATCTAAATTATACCCAAATAGATTTACAATGTCAAACTCGATGAGTTGTCTTGATATGAGTTTAACAATATCTAGATCCTCTAATTGATGTTAATAATGTGTTAACTATTTGAGCTATGCTATAGAAAACTTTAATCATATCATTTTTTAATGATAAATCGTCATTTTCCAACTGAACAGCTTCCAACTTAAAAAAAAAAATCCACCACTAAATTTAACTTGACTCGAACTAATATTAGCTTATATAAAACCATGTTTGCCTTTTTATTAAGTGAAAATTCTAAAGATCTGACTTTGTAATCAATTTAAAATAATTAAAGAACGTGTATAATCAGAATTTCACTACTTAATTTTTAAATTAACACACGTTGTTATTAGAATTTTAAATTCAGAATCTTTTGATCGGAGATATATGTAACTATTAAATTATTGTTTTATTAACGTACTTTCTACCCATTGAATAGGATAATTTTGTTAGTTAATGGGTTTGATTTTGCTAATAGGCAAGTTAAATTTTATGCGTTAGTAATAATAAAACATGATTACGGGCATAAATATTTTTATACAATAATTTACTGATTTATCAACTTATTTGTTAAAAAAATTTTAACTTTTCTTTTTCCTAAACCTAATTGAAAATTTTTAATACATCAAAAAATAATTGGTAAGGAAAAATTTTCATACAAGTGAGTAGTTTTTTCTAGTCGATAAAGACATCTTCTTTAAAATTTATGGGAAATTAGCATATAAAAAGAAAAAAGAAGAAAAATGTTTGACTTCGATAATCATGATTATATGGGTTGATAATAGGTTCTTATCTTGTAACGTCCATGACCAAGATTCGGACTAGGATTTGAAATTCAAATTTTGCCCTAATCAAACCAACACGAGTCCATCCCCTACAACCTGATTGCACCACCGTCTAGTTATGAACTACTTAGAATAGCGTAGATTATCCCTACAAACCAATACGAGTTCTTTTAGCATACTTTATCCTCACTCACATGTTTTTCTTAATAAAGCAACTAGAATCACCCAACCGAAATATTACTCTAAGTCAAGCATGCTTATCTTTGGAGTTCTTACAGTTAAGTTGTCGAAAAGGAATGTGCTATGTAGTAACTATCAACTCCTCCCCTCTCTACTCGATCGTTATATATCTACTAATTAGCTATTCTCTGAATTGGCAAGCAGACGAAATCAGTCGATATAGTATATACTTTTATTTATTATGAGTTTGTTATAAATGGGTTTTTTTTCTTTAATATTTCAGAGATTTTAAACAAAATAGGGCCGGAGGAAAAGCAAAATATGAGGTGGAAAATAAAAATAATAATAATAACGGAAAAATTAAGAAAACAATAATAAATAAATGACCAACTAAGAAATATATTCGGATAATAAATAAATGACCAACTAAGAAATATAGCCGGATAATGATACCAAAATGAAAAACAATTAAAATAAAAACTTAGCTCGCCGTTGCCGGGGATCGAACCCGGGTCACCCGCGTGACAGGCGGGAATACTCACCACTATACTACAACGACTTAACTGATGAAACGAAATATGTGTTAATTTATTTGTTCCAATATTGTTAATGCCATTTTTTTAATTATATTTTCTATTTCTAATCTGCAAATGATTCAAAATCGTTATAATTTAATTATAAATTTAGCCAACGTGTTTATTTGTTTATTTATGTTTCAAAAATTTTAGAAAAAACAAAAATAAGTTTTCGGCCCTACTTTCAATTTGTTTCAACATGAATAAAAATATTGTTTTATTATTCTTGCATCCATAGATGTTGAAGATCATGAAATTCTATTTTTCTTTATTAAAAATGAGGAAACATAAACAAAACAAAAAATGAAAACATTACCAATAACCTTCAAGTTTGGATGAAGACTACTAATATTTTACTTGATAGACCATGGGCTTGAGTCAGCCAAAAAAAAATTGTTATGAACTTTTGATTTAATTATTAAACATGGTTGCTTAAATATTGGGTCGTACCAGGCTTCAAAATGTCGACATGCTCGATATGGACATAGGGGAAAAATTCGATTTTCTCCCCATGTCGTCGACATGTCTTTCTTTTTCTCTTCTTCTTTTAAGGTTATCTTATTTTCATCATCTTCCTACTATGCCACTACAATCTATAATCATTCGCATTTTAATACTGTATAAAGTATAACTAATAAGATTTGGAATTTGTTTTATTGATAATTTCTAATCCAATCTAGTCTTTAGTTACACAATTGAACAATATATATGAAATATTGACATATATAAAAATTGAAATAATCTTAGAATTTTTTAAAAATAAAATATTATTATCTATAAATAGTGGTGAAACATGAAGTGAAATAGATAGTAGATAATTTGGATAAATTACACAATCACCAGGTTGAGTAAATTTGATTGGAAACTTTAGATTGATAATTGATTTGAAAATTTGTTTGAAAAATATGTAAATTCAAATTTGAAAAAAGAAGTGGATAAAAACTAAACAGGCATAGTTAATTAGAATTTAGAGTTAATTAAAGATTTCCGTGTTTAGAAACCAAATCGATAATTATCTCATATCCAAATGAATCTTATTATGAAAAATACAAATATTCAAAAGTTTACAATTAAAGTTTACTTTATATATTCGAATAATAATTTCCATCAGGAAAAAATCTTTTTTCGATTTTTCGATATTTCCATCGACATCGACATTTTCATAAGTAAAATGATCATATTCTTACATTTAATGATTAAAGGTGATCAATTATAAACTAATTAAGCAACCATTCAAGTTTTATTTGCTAATTCAAAAAATTTTCATCAATTTCCACAATTTTCATTATTTTTCCTGAAGTATCCATCGACATCGACATGTCTGTAAAATCGGGACCTCGACATTTTGAACACTGGGTGGTACAAATTAATTAGAAGGGTAAGTAATTACTTGGCAAATCATAAGATAAAAAATATGTCAGATGAATAAAATAAAGTTAGAAAAAAAAAGTTGGGAAGAAACTGAAAAAGCGATTATGTTTAAGAGCATTATCATCAGAATCAACAAAGAAAACCAGCATAATGTTGTAGAGTATTCAGATAACACTACTCTTGAATAGTAATATGCTTATGATATAACAATGATACAAAAGTAGCGCATTTTTTTTCCGTTTCCTCCTTTCGCCTATTGACTTGTAGGATAGTAGTGAATCAAGAGCAGAAAAGCTGGTTCATATCGGAAAGTTCATTGACAATTATGAGATTCTGACAAAGGATTCCATGGTGTAGGAGCATACTTAGTCTGAAGTAATGTTCCACCCAAGATATGAAGAGAAAAGAAGAGTCTGTGACAAATAAAACTACAACAAAATGCGTACGATTCTATAACTCTGCTACATGGATGGCTTACGAAATGCCGAACTGAAAAAACTACTCACTTGAGCATGAGCTGTAGGATTACCTCTGATAGACACGACACGACACGACAGCTTCTTCTCCACCACATATGAACTTTGAAAAGTATTGAATCCTTAAGGAGAGTTCTCTGGCGTTTTCAGAACTGTAGAAGCCTTGCCTTTATGCTCATTGATCGCTGCTTGAAACTCCTCCACTATGGATGCATCTTTGAACTTCAAAGCAATTGTTGAAAGACCGTCCTTCCCTTCGCTGGTGCTGTTCATACAGGCAAACGTGATACCTTTCTTCTCCATGTTGGTGAGCTTCATGTCAGGGTAAAGATTTGCATTCAAAATTAACCTGTAATTCCCTCTAGCCCTCATAAGAAGCCTAGCTCTGCCCGTCCCGCTTGTAGAGGTGTTAACTTTCAGCTCCCCCTTCCCACGTTCCTTCCAAGATCCATCAATAAATTCAAACAATATAGAATCAGCAGTGAAAACTGCACTTTCATTTTCTTCACCAGTTTCAACTGCAACCTCTTGCATTGATGGGAAGCCACTTTTCTCACTCTTGGAAACAATGGAAGACCCTGAAGTACCAAAGAGGGCTGAGCTGCCATTATTAGAGAGACCAAAACTAGCAGTCAGGCCAACTCCATCCTTGGGTATATTACCAAAGGAGAACGTAGATGTCGAAAATCCGGTACCAGCAAGACCCGTGAAGGCATTCTGGCTACTTGATAGTTGTTGGAATGAGCTCAAAGGAGCAGCTTCCTTACTTGGTTCTGCTTCACTTCCACCTTCTCTCTTTTCTTCATTTTCTGTCTTTACTTGATCCCCAGTTTCCTTGTTTTGTATCTCATTTCCTTCACTGGGTTCTTCATTTTCATTCATATTGCCTCTTGCAGGAAGATTCTCATTCTTACCACCAATTGCACATTCATCATTTTCGGCCTTATCCTGACTTACAGGTTCCTCATTCTGAGTCTTATCTCCCTCAACTGGTTTCTTATTTTCAGTCTTACGGCTTTCAGCTACAAGGTTATTATCTACCTTAGGTATGTCTTCAAGTTTTGAGGATTCATTTACATCAGTTCTATTCTGATCAACATTCTGCACATGTTGAACAGATTTAGCCTCTGCCTCTGAAATGTCAATTTTACCTTCTGCTGGCTCATCATTATGAACTCCATCTTTTTGAGTCTCTTCGTGGGAAACATCCTTTCCATTTGTGTCATCTGAACCTGTTTTCTCATGTGCATCACTTTTAACTTCTGAAGCACTTCCACTATTTTCAGTTGGAGGTACTAATCGTATTCCAGCAAAGGGATTAGAAGATGGGGCAGGTGGGGCAGGTGGGGCAGGCTGACCACGGCGTATTTTCACAATTCTTCTGGTGGCCAGCACCTCATCACTAGCCCGCTTGAACGTTCCAGTATCTTGCTCAGAAACTTCTTCTTCATCATCAAGCCCAGGGTTATCTCGTGATATCTCCCTTCCAGCAGCCCTCTTCTTTGTAGATGGAATGGCATTTTCAGCATCCCCCATTGAAAAGTGAAGCAAATTAACCCAGAACTTTGGAGTTCTGCTAGAAAGCAGAAATCGAAGACGATATCTGGAGAATGTACAAACATTATGACTCAACAAGTTCAAAGAAAGAATTTTTCTTACCCATGCAAACAGGTTAAACTAAAATCTAAAAGAAGAAAAGTCTAGAGAAAGGTCAAGGAGGATGAATAGGAGCAACGAAACTAACTACGAAGAGATGAGAATTAAAATATTAGACAATCTCTTTTCCGAACAAGACATTATAAGGCAATCTCTTATAGGCCATTTGTTTCAAACGTTGCATGGCATTAAGATGTCTGAACTCTGAATATAAAATATACATGAGATTTTTTTTTCATGAAAAATCTTGCTTTCATTGAAGAAAAATGAAAGATAAAATAAACATGAGATGAAAGAATTCCTTTCTTCGGTTTTCTTTGGTTTTACATGGGAATGCTCCAAGAAATTCGTGTATATAGAAATATATGTTTGTGTTTCTATGACAGCTTTGGATTTCTATATTTGGAATCTCTCCACATAAACCTAAATTCCCATCCCCCCCCCACCCCCCAAAAAAACCCACCCATGTCTTCTCCCTCTCCCCAATTTCCCATCCACTATAAACCCTAGTTGCCTCCCACTACACATTATTGCAGGAAAAAAAAAACTCATACTAACATATAGCACCACAAGATGACGCTAATAAATGACAGTTATCTTCATCCTAATAATGGTGAATCCAAACATGAATGATGGTAATGAGCACAGATATGGTAACTTTACCCCAAAACCATCTAGTCCCAAACATTTATCATTTCAAATATACCCATTTCAGTCCGCATTCTGAACATAACTGAATGATGGATATAACTCCAGATCATGCTAAAGCGCAGGTAGGAAAAGATGCACCATAATCTTTTAGATGAGTCATAACCTAATTCCGAAGTATGAAAATATAGTAACCCCTAAAACATTGCCTCACAGATGCTAATGGGAGAAAATTAAGTAGAAGATATTGTTTGAAAGAAAAAAGTACGAGATCAGTTATTAGCCTGAAGTGTTTAACTGACACTTAAGCTAAGCATGATTTATAATATATTGACACGTACTGCAACCACAGAAATGAGATCACGGTCATTAAAGCATAAATGTGAACTGAAACAAGTAAAAGATGGTTAATATGTCAAAGAAACCCACAAAAAAGGGGAGGGAAAAAAAGAAGACCACAATAAGGCACTTCAGTGATTTAATGGGACAGACAAGGAAAATTGAATATCCATCTATGAACAGTCAGTAGTGTCAATGATTCAGTAAGCAATGAACATGTGAGAGCCAAAGAGCGTGAAGGATTTCCATATTTGACAATTGAAAACAGCATATTGACGAGAAGACAACTATTACATAAGCCACCAACCATTGTATGGACAATCTCCAAGATGATTGCCCTGGCCAAGTAATACACACAACGGGATAAAACAAGCCACTCAATAACCTCATAGAATTCACCGCACTCGGGTGAAATAATTATGAGCTTTTCTATATAATTAATTTTTTAAAAGGTGATACTCTTAGGATTGGTCCTTAAACCTTAAAATCTTTTGAAAGTAACCCTGCAATGCGATATGTATCACAAACACATAAATTACTCAATAACATTCTAGTTAATACCCAAAATAATCAAAAGGAATAATAGAGACCAATCCAGTAAATTGTCTGGTTCGTGGTAAGGAATGTATAACAAAAAATTGACAACAGGCAACTCAACAAGAGTAACTGAAAAAAAAAAGTTCAAGTCAACAACTAATTTACCAAGCCCCATTCATTTCGTTTTCTGTTTCCATTTTTTTTTTTTAAATGAAGCTTAAAAACACTACTTCTATGTTTAAAAATGTGTTTCTTTCTTTTGTTAGGTAAGTTATAAGAACATTTAAATCTAAGCCAAATTTTAAAATCCAAAAGAAGAGTTTTCAAAATTGTCTTTATTTCTAAAATTTGGCTAAAAATTCAAATTGACTTTTAAAAAAGGTGGAAAAGCATACAAAAGAAATTGTGAGGACACAAACATAACTTAAGAAACAGAAGCAATAAATTGAACATCCCATTTTTATCCCTTTCCCCTCTTTCTCTATAGCAAAATCAAATCTATTTATACTCTCTGGTTCTTCATGTTGCATATTCTCCAACTATCTGTGCCCCAAACCCAAATAGGATAGAAGGGCTTGAACTGTACCATTCCCTACTAAAATCAAGATTCACCAACATCGCCCACAAGCTATGATCAGAAAGAACGAGCTATCCACCACACAAAAACACACAAACAACCCAAAGATTCAAAGGACAACGAACATAAAAAACAAACAGTCACAAGCCACTAAAATTAGAATATACATACACTCATGGTAGGCAATAGAATCGAAGAAATATATACATCTACACCCCTTCCCCTCCGAAACGAAACATAAAAATGAGAATGGAGCAGGAATTACCGAGAATCCAAGCGAAGCTATATCAGAAGTAGAAGCAGAGAGGGAGAGAAATGAGGGTTCGGAAAGAGAAAGAGAGGGACTGAAAATTGAGAGAGGGTTTTGGTTTCCCTTATTTCCTGCTTTTATTATTATTATTATTATTATTTAATTAATTAATTAATTAATTAATTAATGATCGTACGGTTTTTTTAATTTCTTTTTTTCGGATTTGAACGGGCACTCGGGTTTCTCTCTCTTCCTCGTTATTTCCACGAAATACCTACACGACGTCGTTACTCGTAATTACTAATTAGATATACTTGTTGAGTAATTTTATTCTTATTAAATTCACCCATTTGAAATTATTTTTACAAAAAAAAAAAAACATACACACGCTCATGCACGAGTTAATAGAAAATTATAATGCTTGATAAAGATTATGTCTACATGTTAAATATATTAATTTAAAGTATAGAAAATGACTGAATTTAATTTAAATTTGTAGTTTGCAAAAAATAAATAAATAAAAAAAGGAAGGGGCCCGGGTCGGTTCCCCACGGATTGCATCAAACGATTTCGCGGAGCTTTCACGCTACCCGGAAGTAAATTGGATCATGGGCTGACATTTTGGGCTTGTATTGTGGGATATTAATCGGCCCAATAAAGTATGCAAATAATTCACGTCTCCAAGGAAGGGGAAAATTTTTCATATTACTTCCTTTTACATTCATTTTCTGATATATCAGCAATTTTTAACAATGATCACAGAATAAAATAATATATCAATTAGTGATGTGTCAAAGTATGAATAGAAAGAGTAGGTATCCTAGGAGTATCAAAAGTTTCTCCAAAGAAAATTTTATCCTATCAACAACTTTTAACCAAAATAATATATGAATCCATAGTGTTTCCAAAGTATGAATGGAAAGAGTAGGTCCTTTTGTAGTATTAAAAATGTTGTCTAAAGAAAAGTTTTTCCTATCAGCAACTTTTAATAACGATGTGTGATTTATAAAATAAAATAATATATCAACTGATGATGTGTTAAACTATGAATAAAAAGAGCAGGTACTTATCAAAAAATTTCTCCATCTCCAAAAAAATAAAACTAAATAAAATTTAATCATGACAGTTTTTTCTCCACAAAGTTGGAATCAAGTTGAAATAATTTATTCAATTTTTGATACTGAATCTGCTCAAATGCCTCTCGCAGGCGCACTCAAGAGATAGTTTGTGGTTGTTTGAGCAAGTTGTTGAACTTGCCTCACTTGAGTGAGGTGTGAACATGACCTCTTTTATGTTATGTTATGGACTTTGTGCATCCACTAACAACAGGGAAAAAAATATGACTATTGTTATTCTTGTACAAACTACAAAATATGATGCATCAAATTACCAAAATTACCCCTGATACAAAATTAAAGGATTTGGTAAAACTAGAAATTACCACTCAGCAAAATGGAGCATCTTTGTCCCTGTTTGAGACATTTCACTGAACGTAAAATCTTCTACAATGTTATAACTTGAACGTAAAATCTTCCAATGATATTGTATTTGTTCACCTTGAGAAAAAAAAACCCATATTGGAACTATATTTTTCAAATTATAAATATTAAAACTAGAAAAATTATTGAGTTTGACTGCTACATTATGGATGCAAATTTGATACAAATTCAAAATATACATGTCATTTCTCTATGTAAAACTACCAACCACATTTTTCAACCTCGAATAGAGAAACTAGACCATTCACACTTCCAGGTAAGTGATTTCAATGCAAATATAGAACTAATAAATAGAACAAGGATTAAAAAAAACTTCTCTCCAAGAAATAAATATGGATAAAAACTTTTGTGATGTAAAGGCCTCAGAATACAGAGAGATATGGCAATAGGAAAGGCAACAAAATCTACTAGACCATTTATCCTGCGTGTGCCATAGCAACAGCATTTGTTTGTGCTGCACAAAGTGGGTGGCAAACAGAGTCTCTCCCCACAATTTCAACCAACTTCTGGGCCAACAAAAATCTGATGTGAAAGACATTCAGCCATGACAATGGTTAAGCACAAAAAGTGTGAGCAAGGAAACTGTATTCACTTATTTTTACTTCACGAGAATCAAATTCAAAAAGGAAAAAAAGTCGACTCGAGCTACTGATTAAGATTACAATAACAAATTGCAAATGGGGCTATGGCTAAAATGGGAATAATAATCAGATCTACATGGCACAAACCTATGCTCTATAAGGCATGGTCCAAAGGTGAGAGTAGTAGTAATACAAGGTAACTATTCTAAAAGGAGAATGAGTACATCTATCTATAGTTACAAAAATTGACTTGATAGTCATAAAGAATGTAAAATTCATTAAATTCTATTTGCTGGAACGATCATGTAGTTGAGTATATTTGCACATGCCAAATCCATGTCTGCACAGAAGTTCATCTGCTTCAGTAAAGAATTTCTCCTCCCCACTTCAGCATCGAATCGAGCAGCTGAAACCTAGTGATCTGATGTTAACACTGCAAAATATAAGGAAATGAATACCAAGTAAGAAGAGTTATAAAACCGACATCGAAAGAGATAGAACATGAGTGAAAGACTTCTAAATCGCATTAGTGATCATGAAAGATGTTTTAATCGCTTGTCACAAAAGTATCACAACTAAATTTCAGCAGTTATCATCAGAGCTCGAAGAAMAGCATCCCAATTGTTTCAAAGTGATATGGGAGAAATAAAGAAAAATAGATTATATTCTGAAATCAATATTCCTATGACAAAATAATGAATATTGGAAAGGTACAACTTAGCAGAGAATTATGTTCTGTGCAATCCTATAAACTACTTTCAGGGCATATGTCAAGAAAAATGCTCCTTCGATAAAAATTAAAATGTAATATGTTAGACGATAGTAGCAAAATCTGTATGAATTTCAGTAAATATGGAAGCATTAATTCGTGATAATCTAAAATGCTATCCATGCGTTTCTTTGTTGTTGTGAAGAGATGTTGAGGTAGTAGTAGATCGAGTAATACAGAAAGCAGGTTGCACAAATACATGCAAAGCTGGCATTTTAGAATCAACTAATCACCAGAGACAACAATTGGATTTTCACACTTGCGCAACCAATTGCCTTTAAGCTGACTGGGTTCCTTCATTATTCGTACCCCACTCTTCATCGGCCTCGTTACCATTAACAAGAACCGCACCATCTGTTGAATCAGCATCCACCACAACAGCCTCCTCTTGGCTATCTTCTCCATTTTGGTGCTCTGCAGTCTCTTCATCTCCATTCTGATCAATCACCACCACAACTCAGATAAACTAAGTTCCAGACCTCAATCTTAATTCATGCTAGAAATAAAAATAAAAAATACAAAAAAGTACATCATGAATGTCAAATTCCATCGCTTGAATAAATAAAGATTCTATACAAAATGGCCAAACTTCACAACTCAACCATTAATATGTCACAGTGATGGGATATAATTCCCACAAGCAAGTAATTGAGAAAGAAATAGCAACTATGAGTAGTACAGAGAAATACCTCTCCTGCATAAAATTTAGTCTTAAAAAGGAAATAAACAAAATAAGCACTCAAGAGCTTTGCCCGTGGGTATAGGGGAGCAAAGCTCCGACTCCCAGTTATCAAAGAAAAATAAAAAATAAGAACAACTATCCACACAATTCCCACACCCTGAATCTCTCTCTCGATAAAGCCATGTACAATTAATTACTCTGACAGCTTTTTCAAATGGTGGTCTAACTGATAATTAATAATAGCTAGAAGGAAAGAAATGATAGAGAGCAAGTAAAATATCAATGTCTTCCACCAACTCAAGCCTGTTAAATAAGCAGGAAGCAAAAAAGAACTTTGTACCTTTCAAGTAGTATGAAATCTGCATACAGTACATACCTCAAGGTTTGGATCTCCATTTTCAAGAAGCTCCTCTTCATCTACATGCATATTCCTAAAAGCCTCCACAAGAGTTGCATGTGACCTGTCAGCTTGATTGGCATACTCCACCGCAGGAGGATAAACACCCCTAATGAAATTCAAGGAAAGATATAAACGTAGGTTCTATAATCAAGCATCCAATACTATGTTGAAACTAGTTTCTTAGTCATGTAATGTGTGAATATACCATTTAATATGATTGACCAATCATATATGTGCAATAATTACAATGGGTCAACTTTAGAGTGACTAATGATACAAACAAGAGAACACCACTTGCAGAAAAAATAATCATGATGATGAATAAATCATTTCAACAGAAGAACTATCAGGCGACTTGTGGAAAGCTGAGGTCATATAAGCTTAAGCAGAAGCACATGCACATACAACTACTGCAAGCAGAAATACACATGAACTCTGATAAATGTTTCTACCAGACATAATCAGAGAACTGCATATTCCTTCTTAGGTTGCATTGCATAGATATAAACGAATAGCAATGGCAATTATACTTTAAGTATAATTGATTTTTCAGCCTCCTTTAGAGAGCGGAGACAATATTTTTGCTTTCACATAACTTTAGTACATGGCATATGGCATTAATTTTTCTACAAATACCTCTGCTCCTCGTCATTCATGCCAATTCGTTTTCAACATTATTTCATTTCCTCACGTGTATATAAAAAAGATAGACAAAGGTACCTGGTCTCTGAAAATTTAGATTCAACAGAAACTGCAAGTTGCCAATCATCAAACAAATTAGGATACTCTTCAGGATCGGCTAGTGAATCAGCTGCTTTTGGATTGACCTAATATATTTTCAAAATTAAATGAGGTAGGTCAATGGTGTTTTTGATCAACATGTGATAAGAATGACTGCAAGTGACATGAAAACATTATAAACCACTTGATCAGTTAATTGTTGTCAAGTGACGTGAAAAAAAAGTTGTTAGTCGATGCCAAGTTTGTGCATGTCATAAATCTTCCTACAATAACTGCAAAGGGATGTATGTGCATATAAATTTGTTGAAGTATGAAATCTCAAGGCCTTCAGTTCATACTGCTCTTTTCTTACTGTAAATTATATGATAAAACCAGTATATAAAGAGGAAAAATTACATATTACAGTTAACAAAAATATTCCATGAAACCCATCA